AGACTTGTCGAGGAGACAGGCTGACAAAGATGCTGCAGAAGATGCTGCTTCAGACGAGGAAGGTCCCATTGCTGCAGGGAGAAAGAGGTCCAAGCATGCAGCCGCACCAGCCTCACCTGCAAGACCAGCACAGCGCCCAAGAGCTCGAGGCATTGGCATACCTAGAGACACCAGTCCTCCACCAGTTGATGCTGGCCTGCTGACACCTTGCTCCTCCTTCACCGGTAACAAGGTGCAGCGCGCAAACCTGCCCAGCATTGAGATCTCTGGTGGCATTCTCACCGATGGCAACTGCCTCTTTGCTGCCATCTCTCAGCACCTCATGGGTACGCAGCAAAAGCACCTCATAGTGCGCAAGAGAGCCATAGAGTACCTTGGCAAGCATCTTGATATGCTTGACTTTGCAGCAGAAGGTGATGACCATGTTGGACGCCTTGCCTACCTGGACGAGATGGCCAAGCCTGGCACCTACGGTGATGAGGTCATGCTGGCTGCTGCGTGCGCAACATACAACACCTCTGCCTTGGTGGTCATGCTGCACAATGGCAAATACCACACCAGGGTCTACCCAGATGGAGCTCAGCCACCGCACATGGGCCTCTTCTACTTTGAAGGTCTGCAGCACTATGAGTTGGCACTCCCTCTGCCCAAAGAGACTAGCTGAGATGCCACTCAGCAATGCTGACCCACACTGTACATAGTCCTGAACCCTGAACACCCCCCTGTACATCCCCTCCCTTGTAAATGACCCCCGGTCCCTGGATGAGAGCCTCCTAGTGGCGGGGCTGGATAGCCAACCAATGCTCATCAATTGTCTTCTGTGTATGTTGTGTGTTGTACTTGTGCACTTGTCAAGCCTGGGCACTGTGCACAAATCTTTATGTGCACACCTAAAGCTTCCACACACTGTGCACAAATCTTTCTGTGCACACCCACAGCCAGCTCACACTGTGCACAAATCTTTTTGTGCAGGCTGTTGACCCTACATCTGACCCTACTTGCGCAGCTATTCAACCTAGAGTTGACCCTACTTGCGCACAAAACACATCTAGAGTTGACCCTACATGCGCACAAAACACATCTAAAGTTGACCCTACTTGTGCACAAAACACATCTAGAGTTGACCCTACTTGCGCGCATGCACCATCTAGAGTCCACCACCACCGGTGCCTAGACCCTACTTTTCACCCTGCACCATCTAGAGTTGACCCTACTTGTCACCCTGTACCATCTAGGGCTCACCACCATCGGCGCCCAGACCCTACTTTTCACTCTGCACCATCTAGAGTCCACCACCACCGGCGCCCAGACCCTACTTCTCACC